ATCTCAGGGAACACTAAAGCAAGAGAGAAGGTCATATCCAGATTTAGGGCACACTGAAGACTGATTCTCTGTCTATTGCTGCCTTGCAGGGGGCAGCCTCCAGCAGCACAGGGCTCAAAGAGAACCCGCAGAGTCAGCTTGTACTATGACTTCCTTATCTGAGGGGGTAAGGAAAAAGACACCCATACTCTCTCTTGATGATTTCCTTATTGACTCTCTCTATTCTTCTACTGTGTACTTCTTTTCTATAGCTTATGTACCAAAACAAAGTTTTTCCAAGCAATATGGCAATTACAATGTGATTACAGTCTATTTTTCAAGTGAATAATTATAACAAATACAAATAAAAAAACATCATGTTTTCCATCTCTTACATGATTGAACATTTCACATATTACAGGTGAAAAACAAATTATCTCAAGAACCCATGTATGTTCCTTCCCAAGCAACTTGTTACAGATTAACAGTGTGTAAGCAAGGAAGATATATATAATATATATTTACTGGCAGTCTGTGTTTTGTGGTTAAAAGAGAGGACCAATCACTTTGTTACTTATCTTGAAAGGTAATCTTGTAAGGAATCTTAAAGGAATCACAAATTTAAGCTTTTATATATGAAAAAGAATCAGTCAGCTCTCCTTTAAATCTTCAGGATATATACCCAACCGTCAATAGTTTTTTTTTTGTTTTTTTTTTTTTACATCAGGAGATTAAGGGCAAAAATGGGTAGAAGGAAGTAATCATCATCTTTGGCAATCAACCAATCCTAGCAAGAAAGTACTCAGCTAATGGTAATTGGGCTTCTTCGTTATTGTTTCTTGACCTTAAAGAGTTCTTACTCAACTATAAGCCTTTCTAAAACTTTAGATTGTCTTCTTGGGTTTTTCACCTCAAAGATATTTGACTAAAACATCTTAGTCTAACATTAAGTTATTTTCAAAGCTTTGTTTCAGGTGGTATTTTATTTGTACTGAAATGTGATTTTAATTGTATGTTAATAAATAAAGTTGCCCAGGGGTCAGAGCTATTAGAGCCATAGCAAGAGTGTGGCGGTGGTGGCGCACACCTTTAATCCCAGCACTTGGTAGACAGAGCCAGGTGGATCTCTGTGTGTTCAAGGATACAGGCAGCATTGGAGACACACGCCTTTAATCTCAATCCCAACCATAGAAGACCTGGAAGTCTCTACAGACAGGCAGTGATGATGAGGCAGTCATGTGTTTGGGTTTACAACCAATGAGAAGGCAGAACAGAAAGACTATATAAAGACATACACACAGGAAGTAGGACCCTTTCGGAGAGCTCTCTTGGCTGAAGCAGGAAGGGTAGGGCTCTTAGTTCTGACCTCTTGGCTTTCTTCTCTGAATTGGCTCTGTGTTTCTTATTTAATAAGACGGTTGGTTACATCTACAATGATGCACTCTGAATCCTGTGAACACACCACCCTACATTAAGATTAGAAGAATTCAAACTAGCTGGGCTACTGGGACTCAATTATTTTTCTTAATTATTAGCCTAAGTCACAGTCTATATGGCTCCGCAATAGAATCTCATGTGGTCTAGCTGTGTGAAACTTCCTTGTTTTATTATCATCAAAACTCTTTTAAACTAACATTATTATCAACTTGACAGTATAGTTTAAGAAGAAATCATCTTCATAATAATCCACAGGTAAAAGGGCCCAGTAGAACAGGATGTTTCCATGAGATAAACATATTACAGGCAGTGGGGACCACCTCGCACCCATTCCCACTTTGCCAAATACCAGGGAAAGATGGCAGCCTCAAACATGTAAAGGCACAGCGGAGCAGAAGACACTCTGGAAGTCTATGGTCTCAGGGCCTTGCCGATCTGAAATTCACCCATCAGGGAGTTTCCTCTTGGTGGCTGACCCCTGAACTTCAACTGCCATCTGCTGCAGCTCCTACATGGCCAATGGCATCTGTCCTGTGCCCTCAGAGCCTTCCTCTAGGAGACTCAGCATACCCTTCTCCAGATTGGGTTCTTTGTGATATTCTGACAGTGGGGCCTTGGGAAGGTTGTTTCCATGAGGTTGTGGGTAGTATGCTTAATGAGCCATGGATCTGTGTTAACGGTGATGTTCTGAATATCAGTTCCCTGGCTTAGTATGAGGTGATGCTTCTGTGCTCCTGTAACACACCCTCAACTGGATCCCAAGTCTGCCTTCACTCCCTCCATTCCTCTAACCATGTCCTTGAGAATCCTGTCCACAAGCTGTGGGAGAGAGGGCCACTGACAAAGATGGTGACAAGGGGTGGGAGAGAGTCAGTGCTCAGGAACCGCACTTTACAGAGTCACCCTAGATATGTTCTTAAAAGAGATGCAGACAACTTCCTTTAACCAGAGACCAGAGACCTAAGACCCAGAGCAATCCTGGCTCAAGGGCTTCTTCTACTAACAAGGAACAAGCTTAGGGCAGCTCCTAACAACTTATAAAAAGTGCAGATGACACCAATTTGCAATGTTGAAAGATTTATTCCAGTGTGAGTATCAGCAACATATCAAAGACAGATGGCCTCAGAATCCACACCTCCCGTGGCCGCACAAAGTAGACTCAGGCTCTTCAGAACTGTGCTCTTGAGTTTCACCTTGTTTTCTTACTGACACTCATATTTTCCTTTTATTTCTCTTTATTTTACAGGGGCCAGGAGGCTAACTCAGTTTTTACTTTGGCGCAGTGGCTGCAGTTCCATGCCGAAGTAAAGCAGCTTGCAAGTCTTCAAACTTGATAGGCTTTGTAGCTGCTACACGAACAGCCATCCCAAAGAGCAATGAGCCTATAAATACATAAATACGAGCAAAGACCACTCTTACGTATATCACTGGTAGTTGTCTCTGTCTTACTGTGCGCATTTTATGTGGAGGGGGTCCACTGTTTACACTCCCTCCAGGTCCTTCTCCCACGCAGTTTGGAGGGTCCCAACCTACATGACAATGGCAATTCCGATGATTATTGCATACTCCTCTAAAATTGCACTTTTCCGGGGTGCAGTCATAATTCAATTTAGTAAGAGTTCCATTGCAAGACCCTCGATCACAGAAATTAGTTTGGGAACATGGAGTACCATGTCTCACCCGTCCAGCATCTGTTGATTCTGTTGAACGATGCTCATCGAGCCCAAAACAGGAAAACCCAGAAATAAGTGACTGATGGAATGAAACATGTTCCTGCAAGTGTGGAAGGTGGGTGACATTGGTACACTGCAACCTTCCACACATCTTATCTCTATCAGCACAAGGTGTGAATAAGAGGCTTTCTTCTGCTCTCTGACAATGTCCAAATCGATACTGTTCCTTATTGATGTCATAGCACTTTTGATTGCCCTCATGAGCACTTGCACCAAAGATTTCCTTGCAATGCATATTGCGATCGGTGCAGTTTCCTTGATAGCAGTAACCCTCTTCTGAGCATGGTGTTCCATCTTGCAGATAAAAGTCTGTTGGGCAATGGAGTCCATTCCCACTACAGTACTCTGGAAGATCACATATGTTGTGGACACTTCTGCAAAGTGTCCCAGCAGGACTGTAGGTGCAGTTTATACAGCACGATTCTCTATCACAAATGCTACCTCTTGTGAAACTGCAATTAATCAGGCAGCAGGAATCTGTATAACATGCCTTGTGTGAGCCACAGTCACATTCCTCACCTTCATTTAGTACCGCATTTCCACAAATACCATAGGTCTTTGATTTATTATAATAAGTATGACGGTCATAGAAAAGACATGGCATGATACCGGGGGTATTGAGTATTTGGTTTAGCTCTACAAGGGAACAATTGCTGTAAACATCTGTTAGCAGAGGTCTCCTGAACATAACACAGGTGCGCCTTCTCTGGCAAACACAGGAACTCTCATCATCAAAATTCATACCTAAATTCCTCCCTACACGGTTGGCTACTACAACAGACACAAATATATAGTAGCGCGAATTTTGACCAACCCAGGTTAGAGCATTGGAACTACAGATACTCAGTTCAACTGGTCTAAAATTTTCATCTGGGGGCGAATCCCTATTAATTATACTTGAAGCGTCAGGCGTAAATCTGTTATAAAAGTTTGCGATATAGTATCTGTGAGACTCACTTCCTGGTACTGAGGGGTCGTGATTAAATGGATCCTCTACGTTATACACAGTCAAGAGAAAGGCATAGTAGCGCATATGGATATTTCTCATATAGGTGTCCATTAAACTGATCAGTGAAAACAAATATACGCAAATTCTATCAACATCCCAGACTCTACTATATACAGAATGAGTTGATTGAAAATGGCCTTTTACAGCAGCTGGATGTGTAGCATAGTCTCTACTAGATATTCTGGGCGCCACAGTGAAATTTGTTTTGGAGTAGAGGGGGCCTATGCTATGGTCCACATGCTTCCATTCATTCATAGGCCCGACTGTTTCAGAATCAGCCACTATCTGAGAAATAAAGTGCTCGAACCTGTGTGAATCATTGAGGGGCTTGATTTCATAGGCAAGGTCATCGAACATTATGACCCCATTCAGGCCCCCATAACAAGTATCCAGAGTGACCATGGATTGAGGGATCCCCTCCAGGTAGCCAATATAGTAACAATCTGCAGGAAAAAAGGGATAATCCATCTGTAAGGCTCCTTGGTCATCCTGAGTTGTCAGCAGCAAGTGCCTGGGCCAAATAAGTGTCTTTCTTCTCAGGTGGATGGTGTGTCTCTGGCCCCTGAAACGCAAGCTGTAGGAGAGCCGTCCTGGTGGTTGAAATCCCTTACCATGGTATGTCTCCTTCCGAGGAATGACCACCTCTGATGAGATAAAACGCCATGTGGGACGGCCTTGAAAACAGTGGCTTGGAACCAGGAGCAGCACCCAGAGTGCTACCAGCAACAGGGGGAGCCTGGGAGTCACAGGTCTTTCTACCAGCTTCATGCCCCAGGTCCGAGATAACATCCTGGATGAAGCTAGGCTAAAACCCTCTGCTGTGGCCATGCCTGGTGTAGGAGTCACTGATGGTGGGCAAAGGGCTTCTTCAGGCTCCTAGCACTGCTGGTTACCCAGACAACTTGAGGAGTTAGATAACAATTATTGGGTGTGGCAGGAGTGAGCCTGGTGATGTTAGCTGAGATGGAGGTGAAGCGGGGTCCAAAGCAGCGTCTATGAAGTCCACCTAGGAGAGAAAAGGCAGAAGAAGCAGAGGTGTCTCCTCTGGACAGGCTCTGGGCATACAAAATATCATGACCACATTTTCAGTCATCTGAGTTTATTTGGTTTCCAGTGTTACTCTGGGTCTGTTTCTACAAGTCAGTTTTTCTTTTTATTTTGCCTCATATTTCTCACATTTCTGGAAGTTGGAGGTAAATACTGTGAATATTACCCTTTTAGCTATGATTTATTTTATTCTTCTAACATATTTTTACTTGAGTTTTTAGTTAAGTATTTACAAATGGTTTTTCCTTTTTGGGTTTTATTTGGGAGTTTCGGGATTTCCACATGTTGAATTCTTTGGGATACTGCTGTGGGATGTTCTGTATGGCAAATGTGTTGCTCTGATTGGTTAGTAAATAAAACACTAATTGGCCAGTAGTCAGGCAGGTGGAAGTATAGGCGGGACAAGTAGGAGAATAAAGCTGGGAAGTGGAAGGCTGAGTCAGAGAGACACTGCCAGCCGCCACGATGACAAACAGCATGTGAAGATGCCGGTAAGCCACGAGCCATGTGACAAGGTATAGATTTATGGAAATGGATTAATTTAAGCTGTAAGAACAGTAGCAAGAAACCTGCCACGGCCGTACAGTTTGTAACCAATATAAGTCTCTGTGTTTACTTGGTTGTGTCTGAGGGGCTGTGGGACTGGCGGGTGACAGAGATTTGTCCTGACTGTGGGCCAGGCAGGAAAACTCTAGCTACAGGATACTGTCTGAAACACCTCGGAACTCTAGAATTTTTAAAAATCCCATCTCTTGTGAGCATACTTTATCTCTGACCCTGTCTTGGTTCCAGGTGTTGGTCCCCTCTAACCCTTAGTATATTTCCTTCTGGACCATTGGGATTACTTCAAACATGCAGGCTGATCAGTTCTAAGTGGGGGATACCAGCAGCTGTCTTTTGGATGAATGTGCAAGAAGTATGTCACACACTTTTTCCAGGTTGTCATTAGGGCTTTCATATCTCTTACTTTTGTAGAAGGAGAAGCATCCTCTGGGTTTCCTCCAAAAATCTCAATAGGGAAAGGGGGCAATAAGTGACACCACCACAGAGTCTCTGACAGGCCCTGTCTCAGACACATGACTAAAATCCACAGCCACAGAGACAGGTTGTATGGCAGCAGGCATCTTATATGACATGAGCAAAACATGGGGTTTTATCAGTTTACCTCCTCTCAAAAGTCTCCATCTCCCCTAAGTGTACAGGCGAAAAAATCCTCTGCAGGACCACTGGAGTCAGATTGCACTTTCCTACCCTCCCAGCCCAGTCTTCAGCCTTCTGACCAGCCAGATTCCCATAAATAAGCCTCTGCTGCTGCCCTGTGGTTACAAGCATCACTGCACTTAATGCCCATGGGAGGTTCTTAAGAGTAGGGAGGGAGGAAGTGGTTGGATCCCTGTCTGGTTGTGGTAACAGGAGATGAAAGCCCTGTTAGACATTCATCAATTAGGGTGAACGGGATCATGTGCTCTATCATTAGTGACCAATTTGGGGACATGGGCTCATACTGCAGTTTGGGAAAGGCTTCTCAAGGCTCATGATCCCTTGTGGTTACTCTGAGGCTCTGCATGCCACCAGGCTGGACTCCCAAGTCCTATGTGGACAAATGACCACACCAAGCACAGCGGGGTTTTATGTCTAAAGTGAAGGGTGTAGATGGGTATCTACACAACTAGGGAGTCCAGAGCCAGCCTGTCCAGTCTCTCTCTGTCTGTCTCTGTCTCTCTCTCTCTCTCTCTGTCTCTCCTCTCTCTCTCTGTCTCTGTCTCTCTCTGTCTCTCTGTCTCTGTCTCTGTCTCTGTCTCTCTCTCTCTCTCTCTCTCTCTCACACACACACACACACACACACACACACACACACCCACACACACCCACACACCCACACCCTTCTCCTACACTAGGCCCAACCCTGTGGGTGGTCAGAGCATCTTGGAGTCAGGTCACAAAGGCAGGTCACTTCATGCCCCTGGCACAGATCACAGAGCAGATCTCAGATGCCTCCTGGTGACCAGATTCATCTTGGCATGCTCTGCCTGGACAGCTCCAGGGAACTGGCTCCCTCCAGCCAAGTGGACTCTCAGGTGCAGGTGACAAAAACAGGCAGAGAGAGATGAGAGGTGAGAGGAGGGAGAGGGACAGAGACAGGGAATGTTAAATATTTACACAGCTGTGTTCCAATCCCTGACCTCTGATATCCACAGCACGAGAGTTCAAACATCACATTTTGGGGTTGGGCATAGGCAAGTGTAAATATGGTGGAAATAAAGGATCTGAGATCTGGAGTTTTCATGATGGCTTCGAAGTCTCAGTACTGACCCAACCCCTTCACTGGTCCATTTCCAGCTCCCTTTCGACATGTCCTTGTGTAATTCAAATACATCAAGCTCCCTGCTTGTTTAGAAAGATCTCCCCATTTGTGCTCCTCATCTTCCACTGCCCCACATAGGCTCTGGTCCTCCAGACCCTGATGTCTTCTCAGTGATTCAGGCCCTGCCTGTTCCACAACCACAAACCCGTACCTAAATGGTCTCTCTGTTGAGCCATGGTCTTGAATCAATCCTCCTTAAGCAGGCGTTTTGATTGTTTTTCCTCTGCTTCCGTACTGCAGAAGAGGAGTGGGCAAGCAGAAGCTGAGGCATGTCACATCACTCCAAGTACCCTCTCTCAGTCACTAATATGCCCCCTTGTTTCCTACACTGCAGACTCAAGAATCTTTAATTCACTCGTCTAAGATGGCCACAGGTACTATAGTGTTATGAGATGAAATATAATTCATTAATTACTCCCAACAAGCCCCATAAACTACTACCATTTATCAGCGATCCCCATGGAAGCGCTGGAACATCCTCCTACTCTATTCTTGGCCTTACCAGGGCACCTCTGAGATTACAGAAGCTCTCTTGTTTTCCAGCCAGAAAAACCTCCAGTCAGTCCACAGAAAGGCAGAAATATGCAGAATCTTTTAGAAGAGCAGCCCTTGACTGACTTCAGCAGGGCAGCCTAGGCACCCAGCTTCCTCGGTGCCCAGTTCCTGGCAGTCACACTGGTCATGCCTGACACTGTGGCCAGTTAACACTCCCACAGGGCTCACCCAGTGCAGAGCTGATGGCAGAGGCAGCAAGAACCTCTAGGCAGACAGTGCAAGAGCTGCCTGCAGCAGCAAGGTTCTAATTATGCTGTAGTCTCAAAGCTCATCAGCTTTGCACCAGTCTCCACACAGGCAACCGCAACCAACGTAGCTGTCGACCTCCAGTATATATACTACACAAGAACTACTTCCAAGCACTGGGGAGCAAGTTTTAATGACATATTTTATTTGTAATAATTTGCATGTTTCTGTATAGGTAGTATAGTGCTCATGGTAGGTAGAACAGTATTTATGGAGGCCAAGAGAGGGTACTGGTTCCTCCAGACTTACAGGTGGAGCTGCCAATTGTGATTGTCAGAAACTGAACCCCATTCTCTGTGGGAACGGAATGCTCTCTGAATCACTGAGATGTTTCTTCAGTGCCTGTAAGAGGGACCATAACCTTCCCTATCATATTTGCTGCAGCTTTGTTCACAATGGTGTAAAGATGACTTTGAGCTGGATGAATGTAGAGAGCTGCTGGTAGCAATGGCTTTACCAGAGGCTGTCACCATGAGGTGACAACTAGTGTTCAGCAGGTTGACCCACCAGGCGAACAACTCTCTGATCGGGAGGCCCACTTGGTGAGACCATGGGGTCACTGACTGAAAACGACTGGTCGCTCCTGTCTGTGATGTCACCTGTGCAAATACAGCTGCTATCTCCCCATTATCATGCATTGTCATGAAATGTGGAGATGCAATCTCATGATTACAGCTCCATCTTGTGGGCACTGGTGTTTGTGCATGGTCAGGAGAACAACTCCTCCTTACCCTGTGTTATTCTGGCATCTAAAACAACTCTCACAGTACAGCCTTTGTTCCACATTACAGTAAGAAACTTAGAAGCCCGTTCTCTATAATTAGCTTACTGACAGAGCAATTTGGCTAGACAAGAGTCTCTGTGGATAGATCACAAGTAGGACTTTCACAGATTAGCCTCAAGGATGAAATTACAAAGTGTCTCGCTTTGTTGATTCAAGGTCCTTCAGAGACTGAATTGCCCTGAGCTTCCTCTGCTGGCAGCTGATAATGCATTCACAGAATTCACCTGCTCTGACCCTTTAGCAATTAATAATTTGTACTAATGTTCTAACCTCAGTTTATGATATAAAACTCAAGTTTCAATTAACTAAATGTTTATTTACTTAGGTCTCAAATAACAACTAATCAATTAACCAAGTCGAAAGGGGGGAAAAATTTTTTTTGTCCAGCTGACTGTGGATGTCACAGGCTGGGAAAGTGCCAAGCACCTTGTCCCTTCCTATGTGTTGCCGTGGCAAATGGCTTTGCACCTTATCCTCTCAAGGAATGTGCATTTGAACTTGAGAGGGCTTTGTAACTTTTCTTATTATGACAAAGTGTCTCCTGCTAGAAAGATGTGTTTAGCTGTGTAGAGAAGAGGAGCTAGGAAAAATGAGCTGAAAAGAAGCTGTAGAATCAGAGCTGAGGAAGATTAAAAGAAAATGACCCTTAGAATGTGTATGGATCTTTTCCTTTCAGATAGATAGAAACTGATTTGTAAAGACCATCTGATTAAAAAAGTCTGATGCTCTAGACATACCCTCAGATAAGAAAATTCTAGATTAGATTTCACTGTGCTGTGGTTTATTCTATGAACCCTGTTATATCTGTGGAGCTGGACTCCATGGCATACTTTAGATGAACCTCAAGGACATTTTATGAGTGACAGCCAGGCACCAAGAGAAGAAAAGGATTTCATATCAAGTGGAACCTGAAAAAACTGACTTCAAGTTAACTACCACTGAGTGAAAGTTGACCATGGCTTACACACTATAGAGTGATGTCTAAACAGTTATACTGGAAGGATTAAACGGTGAGTTGTATGTATTTTGACCACAGTTAATATGATATTATATTCTTCATATATGGAGAGAGTTGAGATATCCCCTCAAAACAATAACTGTGTAGTCACTGAGCAAAAAATATGTATGTAAAAACATAATGTATGACAATGGGTTTCTTTTTTTCTTTATTAAGAAATTTTCTACTCACTCCACATACCATCCACAGATCTTCATCTTCCATCCCCACCCCGCCCAGACCTTTTTCTCAAGCCACCCCACATCCCCACATCCCCCAAATTGAGGTCTCCCATGGGGAGTCAGCAGAGGCCAGCACACTGAGCCTAGGGAGGTCCAAGCTCCTTCCCACTGCACCAAGGCTGTACAAGGTGTCACACCACAGGCACCAGCTTCCCAGAAACCTGCTCATGCACCAGGGACAGATCCCAATACTCCTGCCTGGGTGCCCCCCAAACAGTTCGAGCCAAACAACTGTCTTCCGTATCCAGAGGGCCTAATCTAGCCCATGGGGCCTACACAGCCACCAATCCACAGTTCATGGGCTTCCACTAGTGTGGCCGGTCATCTCTGTATGTCCTCCCATCATGATCTCAATGTCCCTCACCTGCGGTATCTCTCCTCTCTCTCATTAATTGGATTCTTGGAGCTCGCTCAGCCTGGTGCCTGGCCGTGGATCTCTGCATCTGCCTCCATCAGTCACTGGACAAAGGCTCTATGATGACAGCTAGGTTATTTGCTAGACAAGTCACCAGAGTAGACTAGTCCAGGCACCCTCTGGACCATTGCCAGCAGACCAAGGTGGGGTCATCCTTGTGGATTCCTGAGAGCCTCCCCAGCACCCTGCCTCTTCCTATTCCCATGATGTCCTCATCTAGCATGATATCTTCCTCCCTGCCCTCCCACTCTGTCCCTGTTCCAGCTCAGCTCCCCCATTTTCCTATATTCTCATCCCCCACTCCTCACCCTCTGCCACTCCCACCCCCCACACCCAGTCTGCTCATGTAGATCTCATCCACTTTTCCTTCACAGGGTCATCCATGTGTCCCTCCTAGTGACTTTCCCTGTTAGATAGCCTCTCTGAAGTTAGGGTTGCAGTCTGGCCATCCCTTCCCTCATATCTAGTATCCACTTATGAGTGAGTACATACTATGTTTGTCCTTCTGAATCTGGGTTACCTCATTCAAGATGATATTTTCTAGTTCAATCCATTTGCCTGCAAATTTCATGATATCATTGTTTTTTACTGCTGAGTAGTACTCCATTGTGTATATGTGCTACATTTTCTTTATCCATTCTTCAGTTGAGGGGCATCTAGGTTGTTTCCAAGTTCTAGCTATTATGAATAATTCTGATATGAACATAGCTAAGCATATGTCCTTGTGGTAAGATTGGGTATTCCTTGGGTATATGTCCAAGAGTGGTATAACTGGGTCTTGAGGAAGAATGATTCCCAATTTTCTGAGAAACTGCCATACTGATTTCCAAAGTGGCTGTACAAGTTTGCATTCCCACCAACAATGGAGGAATGTTCCCCTTGCTCCACATCCTCTCCAACAGAAGCTGTCTTCAGTGTTTTTGATCTTAGCCATTCTGACAGGTGTAAGATGGTATCTCAGAGTTGTTTTGATTTGCATTTCCCTGATGACTAAGGATGTTGAGCAATTCCTTAAATGTCTTTCAGCCATTTGAGATTCTTCTGTTGAGATTCTCTGTTCATCTCTGGATTTCCCTCACTGTCTCTAGGACAGTAATACATGGCTGTGTCTTCACTTTGCCAACTGCTCATTTAAAAAAAAACTTTGCTCTTGTAGGTGTCCCTGCTGATTCTGACTCAGGATTTGAGAGCTGAATTGTAGTTGTTGCTGTCCAAGCCTGCAGTCAGGACCCTGTGTCCACATCTTATAATTCGTTCTGAAGACATGTATTTCTGTGCATTATGACAGATCCTAGACCTTCATGTCAGAGTGTCCAGGAAGTTGAGAGTATGTGGGGATTTGAGGATTTCCTGTTGGTAAGGGGTACCAAAGAGGTAGCAGGGTGTTGTTACCTGGGCCTCTCAGGCCTATGGGTCAGTTGGAGTACTCTGACAGGTGGAGGGTGGCAGCATTCATGATTTTTATGTTTTATGTATTTGTTAAAAGTACATTTAATTAACATATACATGGTATGTGATGATTTTCAGCAAAGTGGGATACAAAGATGTTTCTCAGTAGAGATTCCTCACTTTTGAAGACACACACAGGTAGGCTGAAAGTGACAGGTTGGATAAAAACTATTCACTAGTATGGAAAACAGAGTGGCCAGGAAATTTTGCTTACATTAGGAAAATTCAGTCAATGTCTATACAAATGGAACAAAGAACACTGTCCAATGAGCAATGAGTGAACTCATGAAGAGCACAACCATTGTAAGCAAATGTTCCCCAAGTTGGATAACATAATCATATGAGGCAATCATGAAGGGGCCTTCAGAGAAATAATGACTGTTTTTCTGTCTAACACTATAATAATATTTTCATTGGTATAAACTCACTTGAAAACTCTTCATAATGTACATATTAGTATGCATAGATTACTATATTCCCACATTAGCTCAATAATTATTTTTAAAAAGTTATCCAATGTAGCTTCTGTCCCACTTTTACTCATGGACAGTTGCCATGCTGACCACACATAAGTGGAGGATCATGGGATGCGAGAGCTACAAGCACAATTTACTGAGGGTGTCTGTGAGACCTCACACCTCAGGCTTCACTTACAGAGAATCCAGCAGTGAGAGACAGTGCAGCAGTGGGATATTGACATCATCGTGGAAATTTGATAAACTATTTTAATTGAAAATGTCACTTTCTGTAACTACTCACACAGAAGTGAGATTGATTGGTCACATGGTCTCAGAAATGTAATTCTTTGAGGGACCTCCAAACTTTACACAGCACAGGAACACCTTCCTCTTCCTCTTCACAACACTTATTTTCATTATTTCCTTTAGTAAATGGCATTCATATCATTGGATGGAAGATAATTTATCATTTGGGATTTAATTTCCATTTGTCTGTAGATTAGAGATGTTGGCTTTATGCAGCCTCTTCTGCCCACATGCATGGGCCAAGGTGAAGGATTCCTGTCAGAGGATGGAGGTTAGAATGATGGCTGCTGACAAGGCCATCACTTTTCACCTTCATATCCCCTGAGCTATGTGTTATGTTGATGACTCAAATATCAGATAATTGATAGAAATGAGTTCTACTTGAGAAGAAAAATGAAACTGATTTCTTGGATGAGACAAACATTATCCTAACCGTTAACAGGAGTAGTGATGATTCAAATAGAATATTTATTAATCAAAATGAGGAATGTATTTCTGAAATATTAACATTTGAATCAAAGCCTCATTTATACTACAGAAATTCTCACACTGAGTTAGCTCCCAGCACTGGAAGTGAATATTTCAAATATTTTATTTTTAATTATGTGTATATGCTTCTGTGTATTGTAGTGCTAATGAAGGCCAAAGAGGGTCTCAGTCCTTTGTATTTACAGGTGGGTATGAGGTGACCAATGTGAGTGTCAGGAACAATAATCCTTCTTAACCACTGAGCTGCTTCTCCAGCACCTGGATTATCAATCATAACCTCACCTCTCATGTTTGCTGCAGCTCTGTTCACAAAGTGCTGAATATCACAAGAATCTGGATAAACACGGAGGACATTTTATAAATGACAGCCAGAAAGCAAGACAACATAAGGACCTCTTATCAAGTGGAACCTAAAAATCTGGTCTCAGGCAAAGTCACATTGAGAGCAGAATGACCCTGGCTTAGACGTTATAGAGAGTAGCATAATCGATTCCATGGGAAGGATTATTACAAATATTAAGTTGAATGGATGTTGACCACAGTTCATAACAACAAATTTTGTTTTTAAAGATGGAGAGAATAGATCTTACTAAGTATGCCCTTAAACAATAAAGTTATGGTCATTCAACACTGGACAAGCATTTGAAAACATCCTGTAAGACAGGGTGATTACAGACAACTTCAACTTCATTTAAGTAACATAAGGAGTAGTTCATGTTAATATAATTGCAGGAAGGAAAGGAATGAACCCATTACCAAAATCTTTTTGGGGGTCCTAACTCACACAGTGCTCCACTGAGGTTCTTGGAAATTTTCAGTTTAAATTCTTGTTTTTTTTTTAACACTCTTAGATTATGGGGGCATTACTATATTTAAACTTCCTAAAATGTAAAAATAATGTATATTACATAATTGTTTATTACACTGCTAGTTTCATAACTATAAATTGGATATATGATTTACTAAATTTCTCGGGTCCTTCTAATTAACTAAAATACTGTAGAAGTCTCAGAAGTTTAAATTTTGTCTGACATATAAATAATGAATAAGTTTATAAATCACTTAAACAACTGACAATTAAGAATGCCAATAAACTGATTTCAAGTGGGAAAAGATAATAACAGATTTGAAGCTACCAAGCACTGTTGAATTTCATTTTTGCATCTTCTATGTCTGTATCAGGATCAGGCACTTTATGTGGAACCACTGTCCTGACCAACTGAGAACTGGTGGAGTCCATCACTTATTTATTGAAAATTCTTTCACAGAAAAATTTAGCCATGTTTTGTAAAATAGTTATTTATATTTATTTAGTTGACACTTCTCACTAAGGTGATATTTACTCACCTGACAGAATTAGGGAAAGAACATCAGAGGGATCCCAGTCACATGCCATTTTTGTCACATACTATCAAAGGCACATGGTATAAGAACCCTAAATCTTGTGTTTTGGGGTGAGGCAGTGTGTGCCAGATTTTTGCACTCATGTCATCTGGGTGTCTCTTTTTTTATGACTCTAGAAATAACCAAGGACATGCTCAAGAAGAGAAATCCCAAGGACATCTCCATAGGTTATTGGTACATCTGTCATACTCTAGAGGTAAACGCTTGTCTGCAATTATTTGATCAGTCATTTCTTATGTCAGTCTGGACTACAGAAGGTTCTTTTGTACATGGTGTTAGAATCTCAACTGCACATCGTGCATTTTCTTGGTGAAAACTAAAATCATTGGAAATTAGAGCCAAAGACCTTGCTTAAAAGATTTTTCCCTGCTAATCATGTTTCCCCTGAGCTATTTAGGCTGCTCCTTGGCTTAACCCAAGATAAAATAACTATGGTCCTTTTCTCTCATCATTGTGTGGAGTTGTTCAATTCACTGTTACGTGTCCTTATCACAGGAATCTAATGACCTAGTCAACTTGGTCTCAAATCTTAATCTTTCACTATTAGTATCACTGCAAGAGTTTCCAGAGAAGCATCCACTTCAGATGAGGACATTCTCTTTTTCTTTTTAGAGCTGCCTCAAGTCGATGATCCATTAACGTGGATCCCACAGTCAATACTGCTTCTCTGAATGACACTTCTCTAGTTCACACAGGAGACACCAGGCTCTTCCAGTCAGCATCAACAGAGAGTGCCAGAGGAGTAACTCTGGGAGCCTTGGTAGGCAACAAAAGAACCAACAACTCACAAACTGAAAATCATAGAACTCAATTTCCTATGGGAAGGGCAGAAGAGAGATGGAACCAGAACTGGATCTGACACCAGCTGGGATGTACACACCGGTGGCTAAGAATTTTGTAGGTTGAGGACACAAATATGACTACAGAGGAATCATTACTTGGGACTATGGGTACAACTAATTTTTACCAGATGAAAATGTTTAAAAATAGAATTGTTCACAAGTAATAACCAATTATATTCTTTTAAGTTCTCTTGGTTTAGAAGAAGGAGATACTGGATATTTCAGTTTCAAATCTACCTTTGCAAAATGCCAATATTTCTAGGCACTTGCAGTATCTCTATCACATGTTCAAAAGCAAAGAGGACAAATTACAAATTACTCCATTTCCCAAGTTTTCTCAGTGAACTAAAGTCAATAAATGTCATAATTTAGGACTCAATTTTGAAATATCTATTGATACACACAGACAATTTGAATATATAAAATTAGGTGCTATTCTGTCTGGTAATCAGAAGAAATTGGATAGCTTAGATGGTGTGTGGGAAAAACAATTTGTTCTAATGTGTGAACACATAGAAGGTTGAACAGACTATGAGAGTTGACAGGGGCCTCTAGAGAATAACCTTGGCTTGAAGAGGAAACCACAGGTTCTGACATTAAAATTCATGCTCATTCAGCATAGTCTAGAATTTCTTAGCTTCTGAAAAGAACCTCACTTGTCCCGGCCAGCGGGATCTTCAGCAGAGACCCTAGAAGGGGGAATGGCGAATGACGGGACAAGAGACACAAAGAATTGACAGCAAGACAGTATTCTGATCAAGCTGCAAAATTTTATTTTTCTCAGGTAGGTTTTATAGTAAGCAGACCAGGAAACTTTCTTTGGGAAAAGATCAGGGGACTGTTGAGTTGCCAAGCAACCCAACCAAGCAACCTAACCACAAAACATTGTTACTAATGGTCACTGTAGCAGAAAGATAAGGAAATGTTATTTTCTAATAACTCAGGACTTGTCCAGGCATGTCAAAAGTTTCTGGTTAGTGGCTCAATACTGGACAACAGAAACTTAACTCAGGCAGGCAATATGGCATGGCTCTTGAAATTGTCCTCGGCACTCACTGGTGGTCCTCAGGAGTCTCTGCTGGTACTTAGTGCCCCCTATTGGTGCTGGGTGTCTCTGTAGGGAGGTTTTTGTGCAGGCTCACACTGGAGTTCTTTCACTGTGTCTCTGGCACAGTAATAAGTGGATGTGTCCTCAGTTTGCAGATTGTTCAGTTTTAAGAACACTTGGCTCTTGGAGGTGTCCCTGGTGACGGTGATCTGGGATTTGAGAGCTGAACTATAATCTGTACCTCCACCCCACCATATTCCTCCCACCCACTCCAGACCCTTTCCTGGAGGCTGGCAGACCCAGTGTACACCATAGTCAGTTAATGAGAACCCAGAGACAGTGCAGGTGAGGGACAGGGTCTGTGAGGGCTGCACCAGGCCAGGTCCTGACTCCTTCAGCTGCACCTGGGACAGGACACCTGAGGACAAACAACATCACCATCAGTCATATGTCCCATAGATGACATGCCTGGGTCCCTCTCCTGAAACCCTGACCCACTTACAGCTTGGAAAGGTCACCAGGCAGAGGAGCAGCACCAGGACAGCCATGCTCTGCTGGAGGCTCTAGTGAGAAGGAGATGGGGCTTCTTAGCTGGGCCTGGGCTTTCATCCTGAGCCTGAGGGCTGCTTTGCATTGGGGGAGGTTCCTGAGAGGATAAAAGAGAGCACAGGGCAAGGCTTCCACTCTTCCCTCAGGTGACTGAGATTTGCCTTGTGCTTCTTAGAGGACCTGGAGATGGAAACTCAGGAATATTTTCCTGGTTTTGTCTGGAATTCAAATCCCTGATAAACAGGGAGTAGTATGAGTCACACTTGCAGGCCTTAGATGCAAAACAAGTGAGTCCACATTTATGCTGTGCAAACAGAAGAGGTTACCATGTCCTCAATGCCCTTGTACATGCCTGTAAATTCCAGCAAGGGGTTGAAATTTAGTCATACAATGCACTTTGGGCTACTAGTGATGTGAAATCCAGATAAAGGAACTAATAGAAATCTTTTCTCTTAGTGTCTGTTGAGTTAATCTTATTCTTATCACTCATCTAGAAAATCCAACTAATGAGGGAGCAAATCACAAACATTTAGTACATGTGATTTTAATATTTGTCTGTTGGTCTAACTATCTGTCACTATGTACTTGTATATTTCTCCCCTTTTCTCTTTACCACATAAAGGACATTACAAAACCAGGTTCCTAAATGTGATTGTTGTATTGGTGAGGAAGGGAAGGTCAGCTGTTCATAACACCTCATAAAATAAATAGCGTGCAACCAGGCTTGAGGGTTATGTTAGCTGAAGTAATAAGAAGACAGAGAATCCTAAGTGATGACAAGAAGTGGAGAGGAGGGCATGCTTCAACAATGGGAACTGTTTGTCCTGTGGTGAGGATCACCATAGAGAACAGGGATTTCGGGGCTTTCTCCATGCCTTGGTAATGTATATCACCAGGGAAGGGATGAGAATAGCTTAAACCAACCTGTTCAGTAAGGACACAGAGAACATCCTCCATTTCTTTCTCAATAGACACCCCGTATGTTGTGTCCAGTATTCCTTTGTGCTTACTCTTCCTACTGTGAGTGGCAGTGGTGGAGATGGGTCTTAACATTGGGGAGACAGCCATCCTGTGAAAGCTCTATGGGCACCCAGTGCTATGAGTGCTGTTTTCCCCTTGCTCACATTGCTGTGAGGATTAGAAGAATATATTCCAGACATTATGCTCCATGTGTTACATCTTGGGTTTGCCTGATTTTTCATGGTGGTTATAAAATCTTGGGAAAGAATATCACAGGAAAAATTGAACAGCTCTTACACCATATTGGAGAGGTTCTATGAGATCCCTTACTCAATAATTTTTGGTTTTGGGTACCTCAGGCATAGTTTCTGTCTGCATTTTATGCTCTCATGCTTGTGAATTTTCCTTCTCCCTGAAACTCTCTAGAAAAAAGTCCTGAGAAAAAGTCACTTTTAATGCAAGTGTGTTCAGGGTAAAGCTGCACATTATTTATAATAATCTTCTATTTGAGAGTTGAATCCTTATACTAAAGGGCTTGTTTAGTCATTTCTTCACTTATGTCTAGTGGACACATGGACGCTCAGTGGTCATGTTACACTGACAGTACGAGACTGTATGTGTGTAGCAAGTTGCTGCTGCTATGTGTTCATAATTGTAATGGATTTACTGTATCTATAAGACCATGCCCAACTCTACAACATTCCCAACTGTCTCCTGCTACATTTCTTGGGTTTCAGTAGGTACATCGTGTGTGTGTGTGTGTGTGTGTGTGTGTGTGTGTGTGTGTGTGTGTGTGTGTTTGTGTGTGTATGTGTGTGTGTGTGTGTGTGTGTATTAGAATGAGTATTCAGTAGTCACTTATTCTCAATACTATGGCAGTCATGGATCCCTGCTTTAAATGTTATGCATTGCAAAAACAGGCTTCTCTGACCAATGCTGAGAGCAGCACTAATCTTTGGGTACAAATATAGAAGACAGTTTAAGTATATGTTCCTTGGCAAAATACCAGTAGTAGATTTCCCCATATGGATGTGACCTTTGTAATGTAGATTTTTGACCATTTCTGTGTTGTAAATTTTAAAAATCATTGTAAAATGTTTTGCTTTTAAAATATACTTTGTACCAATAAAAAGTTTTGAGGACCCCAGGTGGGTAAGGGGGGTGTAGGGAAAGGGGGGTGGCTAAAGAAACCCACCCTGGCCCTGGAGCCCAGAAACAGGGAAGGAAACCCACTCTGGATCTGGGATCTGAGCCAGAGAAAGACACAATTTATCCCCAAACCCAGAACCACAGAAACATCCTCTGACTCTGAAACCAGTACCAAAGAAACACACTTTGTCCCTAGAACCAGATCTAGGAAAAAAATATGCACTGGCCTTAGAATTAGAGTAAAAAAGCTAAGAAAGGCCAGTGAAAGGAATAGTTTGGTTCTGCAATCAGGGCCACCTTTGCTCCTAACCCACAAAACTAACCAATCCTTGAGCAGAAAAAACTAACCAATCCCTGGACAGAAAATCTTCTCCCTGGAGAAACTCCACCCTCAAAGATCCTATAAAAAGCACCCTGTCTATTCAGTTGTTGGCTGTTCTTTCCCACCCTGGTATAGGCAGCCACTCTCCTGGATGCCTCCTTCCCAAATAAATCACTTCCTCAACAGATTTTGGGGTGTGAAGACCTTCATCTGCTGGCACAGAGAAGAAGAACCTTGCTAAGATGTCCTTTAGTGGACTGAGCAGAAAAAAACCTTGCAGAGACCTTCCCTTAGGGGGGCTGAGCAAGGCAGAACAGAACAGAAGAACCTTGCTGAGACTGCCCTTAGGGGACTGAGCAAGATGGAGCTGAAAAGTAACAACTTTTTGCTGGAGCAGGAGGAGATTGCTACATTTCTGCAGGGGTTTCCCCTTTAGCAGAGTGAAGCAAAAGAAGCAACATCTTAGGCCAGAGAAGAAGAGGAGCTGGGCTAGGAAGCCCCATTAAGTGGGGACTGAGCAAAACTCAGCTGTAGCAGCTCTCCAGGAGAGGAGCAGGATTACTATATTCTGCAGGGAGACCATCCCCCACCACACCAGTTATAGCCTGACTCTAGAACAGTCAGGATACCTTTCCCTGCTGAGCTGTCCTAACAGCTCCAGGCCTGACTCTCCTGAGTAGTCAGGATATCTCTCCCTCCAGAGCTGAGCTGTTCCATTGCAGCTCCAGCTGTCATAGCTGTCTTAGCAGCTTGAGGTATCTGGGATACCTTCCCCTCCACTGCTGAGGTTTCCCATTGCAGCTTCAGCTGTCAGAGCTGTCCTAGCAGCTTCAAGTATCTGGGATACCTTTTCATCCAGAGCTGAGCTGTCCCATTGCAGCTCCAGCCGTCAGAGCTGTCCTAGCAGCTTGAGGTATCCAGGATACCTTCCCCTCTAGAACTCAGCTGTCCCATTGCAACTCCAGTTGCCAGAGCTGTCCTCGCAGCTCAAGGTGTTGCCTGACACTCAGAACAGTCAGAATACCTTTCCCCCAGAGTTGCAACACTGCTTACAGGTAGGGTATGTGAAAACACTCTCTTTCCCATGCTGGTCCACTTAACTGGCTTAGTTTTGGACTTGTCTTGTAGAGGGAACCATAGTTATTGTGAGTTCATGGGTGTAATATAACCATGTGATGTCCAGAGGCCACCATCTCATAGCACTCCTCCCCACTCCCCAGTACTTACATTCTTTCAACCAACTCTTCAATAATGATATTTGAGCCTTGTGGGAGGCATAGGGAGGGGTAGTGGAGTGGAGGATGGGGGAGCTTTGATATAGATATTTTATCTGTAGATAAGCACTCACATGGTTGTTTATTCTCAGCTGTGAACAGTCATAGACTCTGTAAATTCAAAGATGGCTGCTGGTGGATGGAGAGTCACTTTTGGGGATGTGACTATTGATTGATTGTCTTTGTCCATTGGTTGACTTCACACCCACAGGCATATTGGTAGCACTATTGGAAGTTATTTGGTTTAAAAAAGAAGACATGAATTTGGGGAAAAAATGTGTCGGGAGGACCAGAGCTGAGGAAATTGGGGAGAAGGTGTTGAGTGAGGATATGGCCACGATATGTTGCAAATGCATATGATTAAAAAAATGTTGAAGAATAATTTTCAAAATAGTATGGTTTATTAAAAGTCCTTAGAACATTAAAGGCCTCTTATTTCAATAATCTAACGAGCATCTGGTTTACCAGCTGTGGCTTCCTCCCCTCACAAATTGAAGTCCTTTAAACGTAGACTGTGTCCATGAGCGCTGCAGTCATCCCCATCTTACTGCTTTTATTCGACAGCCCCTGACTGTGCAACTGTTTGTGTGGAACACAGTGAGCTCCTCAGAATCACTGGGAAAGTCCAGTTCTCATGGAACGTGAGCTCCTCAGAATCACTGGGAAAATCCAGTTCTCATGGAACATGAGCTCCTCAGAATCACTGGGAAAGTCCAATTCTCATGGAACGTGAGCTCCTCAGAATCACTGGGAAAATCCAGTTCTCATGGAACGTGAGCTCCTCAGAATCACTGGGAAAGTCCAATTCTGGGGGCAGGATCCATTTTAGCCCCTGTACCTTGAGGACAGGGACTCCCTTAATCATCTCCTAGAACTCTGTGAGAAACACAGACTGTAGGAATGTTCCTCTCTCTTTCCTTCCCTCTGCTTCAGTCTGTCACTCTTTCTTCAGACGCTCACAGCTTCTCCTACCTCTTCCTCTTCTCTCTGTATTTTTTTCTCAAATGAAGCAGTTTCCTTAGAAAGGGACACAAATCTAACATATAATTTTGTCTTTGCTTTTGAGAAGATCCATCTCCTTAGCAAAGATATGAATAACGTAGATCATACTTTATTAAAAATAGGATTTAAATATTCAGATCCAGGACCTGAGCCCGTGATTTCAGTATAGAAACTACACATCACATCCTCATGGTAACTGATGCAAAGTCAAGGTATGTGAAGAAGAAAGTTTAAGGGAAAAAATGAATATGTGTTAAAAGGAAAATTCTTTAGTGCTTGTGAATTTAGTGAA